AACCAGGAGGTCACGGTTTGATTCCTGGTCAGGGCACATGCCCAGGTTGCAGGCTCAATCCCCATTGTGGGGCGTGCAGAAGGCAGCCGATCAATGATTTTCTCTCATCATTGATGTTCTCTCTCCCCTCCCTTCCTCTCTGAAATCAATAAAAATATATCTTAAGAAAGAAATAAACAGCAATTGGAATAGTGCTGCTTTATACTATTCTCGCTATACTTATCCATGTTTGAAAATTTCAATAATTAAACATTAAAACATTTTAAAAAAATAAAATAAATGGTGTTGGGAAATTGGATGGGTACATGAAAAAAAAAAAAGGAACTGGACCACCAACTTATACCATACACAAGAATAAATTCAAAATGGATAAAAGACAAATGTAAGTTGCAAAGCCATAAAAATTCTAAAGAAAACATAGGCAGTAAAATCTCAGACATCTCACATAGCAGTATTTTCACTGATACATCTAGGGCAAGAGAAACAAAGGAAAAAATAATTAAATGGGACTACATCAAACTAAAAAGCTGCACAGCACAAGAAACCATCATCAAAATGAAAATAACCCATGTGTGGGAGAACATATTTGCCAATGATACATCTGATAAGGCGTTGATTTCCAAAATACATAAAGAACTTATAGAACTTAACACCAGGAACACAAACAATCCAATTTTTAAAAATGGGCTAGGGACTTAAATAGACACTTCTCCAAAGAGGACATACAGATGGCCAACAGACATGAAAAAAATGCTCAACATCACTAATCAGCAGAGAGATGCAAATTAAAACTACAGTGAGGTTTTAATCACCTCAACAATGGCTACCATCAACAAATCAACAAATGACAAGTGCTGGTGAGGATGTAGAGAAAAGGGAACCCTAGTACACTGCTGGTGGGAATGCAGGGTGGTGCAGCCAATATGGAAAACAGTATGGAGTTGCCTCAAAAAATTGAAAATGGAACTGTCATTTGACCCAGCAATCCCACTTCTGGGAATATATCCTAAGAATCCCGAAACACCAACCAGAAAGATTATATGCATTCCTATGTTCATAGCAGCATTATTTACAACAGCTAAGGTCTGGAAACAGTCCAAGTGTCCATCCATAGATGAGTGGATAAAAAAAGAAGTGGGACATTTTCATCATGGAATATTATGCAGCTGTAAAAAAGAAGGATATCTTACCCTTTGCAATAGCACGGATGGACCTGGAGATTATTATGCTAAGTGAAATAAGCCAGTCTGAGAAAGACAAATATCACATGATCTCACTTAAATGTGGAATCTAATGAACAAAATAAACTGATGAACAAAATAGGTCCAGAGGCATGGAAACATAGAGCAGACTGACAGATCTCAGAGGGGAGAGGGAGTGGTGGGGGTCAAAAAGAGATTAACCAAAGAACATACATGGGGCTCAAGTGGAAGAGGTAATGGGGGATGGGTAATGGGGGACATCTGTAATACTGTCAACAATAAAAAATAAATTTCAAAAAATCTTGTACTTCTAACCAAAAAGTTCATACTCCCAAACCCTCCCATAACTGATTGAACTCTAAATCAAGTGCCTAAAGAAGAGTGAAGGCTGCATATTAAAAACATTAAGGTAACATTTGTGGAGTATTTGCTGTGTGCTAGGCCTGCACTTTCACATACTGTGTCTCCCAGCCACGCTCTGAGGTCAGGACCATTATCATCCCCATTTCTCAGATGAAACTGGGCTTGGAGCTGTTAAATGACTTGGACGAGGTCATATACAGCAACAGGTAACTGGAGCAGGAAGATCCAGGCTTTTAAAGTTGAAACACCCCTAAGCATTGTGTTATGGAGTCTTGCCAGCTAGCAAGACATAGAACTCAAAATGCCAGACCTCTTAAAGAGCAAAAAGCGGTTAGAAAGGATCAAACCCAGCCTTTTACTTGTAGAGATGAAGCCACCGAGCACCAGAGAAGCACGGATGTGCTGGAGATCTCACAAGTTCGTGATTAGTGACTTGGGACTGGAACCCACCTCAGTGTTATTTCCACACGCCCCACCGATGGGAAATGGAGCTTTCAAACAAGCACGTGTATCATGCCATTGTGTGCATTAGTGAGCCGGGGCCTTGGCTGGGGGGGTCAGCGAAACTCAGGGCCAGCAGCTACGGACCAAAGAAAAGAGCAATCCTGGCTCTGGGTCCCTTCCTTAGATCCACGTGTCCATAGCCTGAGGCCACCCCGGGATGTAAAACCCTCTGTGGATTCTAGGTGCTTTCTGGTATTGGGTGTGTGTGTACACAAGAGAGATGTCAGCGATAGTTAAATGAGAAATGGGTATCAAGCACGTTTCTGTTGACTGAAGTTGTACTAGGTAATCGTGTTTCTTGGTAAGAAGTAAATCAGTCTTTAATTCTGTCTACCTCCCAAATACCATAACTGAATGAGGGCACAGACACAACGACAATAAGACAGCGTTAGCTTTGCACATTCACTCGGCACCCTGATGTGAATTAAACCATGTACTGCACCCACAACTGCCCTGCCTCCAAGAAGCAGAGCCTGAGAGGATTAGGGAGTCAGACAGACCTGGGCCTAGAAGACAGCCCTGCCTCAGAGAATACTCCTCGTTCTCTGCCTGTTTCCTCATCCACAGCATGAAGGTTAGAACAGTGCCCAACACACAGAGTGGAGCAAGTGAAATGCCACAGGGCCTGGCATCAGTGAAAGGCAGCAACAATAATTACGATCAATCCTATAGCGTCCCCATGGCCTAGAGCCTGGAGGAACTTGCCCCAGACCTCACAGAGTTTGTTCTCAGAACTGCCAGCCTGGAAGCGCTCTCCTGTTTTCCTCTTTCTCCACCCCAACTATTCCCCCTAAGTCCCTGGAC